AATTACACACCCTTGGAGCGAGGCCTCCGTGCTGTTCTAAATGGACTACTTTAGTAAGACACGGTCATCTCCTTAATCATCTTTACACAATGGGTATTTGTGAATATGACAATATCTACATTAATATCTAAACACTTGGGAAAATTTTTTCCTGAAAAAAAATGGAATTAAATTCCAAAGAGATACCTAAGTTCATCAGAGAGATAGGATTCTTTGAATATAAACAGATTGTGCAACCGTTTTTAAACATTTGAACATAGTAGAACTGACTGTATATAAATAGTAGTCTATAGGACACTTAACACTATTTATTATACAGAGTGTTAGGAATACTAAAAAAGGATACCAATACTTCAGTAAATATTAGGTGAAGAAACCAAATTACTATAATTCTACTACGCACAATGGACCTACAGTACTGTGTAAATGATCGTTCATACCCACTTTCTTAACTAAAACTATATCTCTATTCAAGACTGGAACTCTAAGATTTTTTAGAGATGGTGTTATCGTTGGTTTAATTTTATTCCTGAGGATCTCAAATCTTAAGGATTTGAAATTAAATTAATAAATATAAACAAATTAACTGATTTAAGCAGTTATCGTGGTAGGAGGGTATGATTCACATTTATATTTTACCTGAAATTCTGTCACGTTACACCACTTTTACAAATCGTCCAATCGTAGAGTTGAAGAATTACATGGTTATTCATTTTAAGTCAATCTTTTTCTATAAATAACCAATTAGAATTTTGGACTTCAATTGTTATGTGAACATTTATAAAGATAAAGTATTTAACCCTTTTTTAATATCCAATAAGTGCATTTTCGTCGTTATTAAAGCGTTTATATTGAAAAATGATGTACAAGTAATTAATTTCTAAAGTCAATTTTACTTTCTGAAATTATATTTATTATCTTTTTAAACAATTTAATATGCTACTATCCAATTGAAAATATTTAGATTTATATTGCTCTATTTTGTACATAAAAGAAAATATACATTTACGTTTCATTAATTTATGATTAATTAAAAATATTTTATAAATCCTAACGATTTGACTTGATTTAGGAATAACTTATATATAGAGTTCAAACTAGAGTCAACAAACTCGATCCTTAAACATTATACCTAAATAATTTGAAAGAACAATTATAAATAAGAGATTATTCACCTCAATAAACTTTACCCTTTGGTGCTCATTATAAAGTTTTAATATTTACTAATTGGGTGCACAATCGATTTATGATTCAATTTGACAATATATAATATTAGCTTGATAGTATTTATATTGAAAAATGAAATAAAAAATATTCACGTTAAAATTATTTTTTTTACTTGTAATATTTCTAACAAGTATATCAAAAATTTACCAACTTTAATTTATATATAAATACCATAAATTCTACTATGTTTTACAAAATATTCAAAAGTTATCTAATTTTATGATAACTGATAGTTGAAAGTTTTAATAAAGCGGTATATTATTTAGCATTAGAACTATAGTATTTTATAGATAGATATTAATTTTAATTGACAGCTGTCATTTTAAAAAAGTCGTTAAATGAAAGTGTTTCAAATTTATTTCTAGATATATTGTATTATAAATGACAAGTGTGCATGCTTTATAATATAGATCTTTGATATAAATTCGATTTTTAGTATAAAATAAATTTATACCTTGATTTGTGTTTCATTTTTTCGTCTTAATTATAAGAAAATTGAAATGCAGATAAACAACGAACAGAGATATCTCCAAATAACAGAATAATAAATATTACACTTTTAGATCAATACATGTTTAAATTAAAACTGTTATTGTAATGTTTTGAAATAAAAATATTTTTATAAATAAATTAATGTTAAGATTTAAGGTTTATGTCTGCTGAACATAAATCTTAAGTATATTTTGTAACTTACGTTAATGGATAATAGTGATTATTACTAAAAGCTCTCGTGGTTAAAAAAAGAAACCAAAACAATTTGGCAGCAAAAGTATTTTATTCGACTGTAAACAAATCATGAAACAAGTATTGAATCTAAAGAGCTTACAACAACATATACATAAACACAATTTTATAAATTGTAAATAAAATAATTGTCTTTGCAGTAATTTTCAATACCAAATCGATAATCACATCAACGGTTGCTTTTTCTTTAAGTGATATTCTTTATGTTATTTTGCCTTCATAAACAGAGTTTACTAAATTATATGCATAATATTTTTACTGATTTTTATATATTATTGTATACGTTTAGTATTCGTATGATTTAAGCCATTGGCAAACAAACTCGAGAGTTTAACTTGTAGTGCAATTTGTCTTACACAAGAAATTTTGACACACGTACAAAGTAATTTTTTTTTGTACGCGTGTCAAAATATTTGTTTGTATCATCAGGGATTTTTAATACTTAAAAAAATGGTACAGCTATTTGTGCTATGAAATCGCGTATTCAATTTAATAGTTTTGCTTGTTAAGATACTAAAAGCAGTGTCCTACATGTCATTAGCATACGATAATAATATTATGTCATTCGGTTCTACACAAACAAAATTAAAATGGTATTACAAGCTTTGGAGAACATTGTTCGACTCACGTGGTCTATATTATTATTGCTATCATCGTCATATACATAATTATTATTCACGAACAAAATATTTACACTGCACATTAAGCGCGGTAATTGCTCTATTTTGCTTTGGTTTTCTCGGTGATAATTTTCCATAGAGGTTCACAATAAGATATCGCTTTATGAGTACTCTAATGTAGTTACTCAAAATCGACAAATTTTGAGTTATTTGATTATACATGTTTTCTTATAGTGTAAATGTAGAATTTTTTTACATTACAATAGCGTATTATGTTGTATTTACGAAATTTAATATGTAATACTTAATAAAATTATTTATCAATCACAAAAAATGATAAATTCATTTCATACATTAGTTTGGTATATTTTGAGTTGCAACACTAAAGTACTGACAACACGATATGTGCACGTCGGGCCAATATAAATGCCGATGATTATTTCAGTTCGTAATTCTAGTTATTGGTTATTTTTTTCGATGGCAATTTACTACAACTTCTGATACGTCTCATTTTTAGAGGAGTTGCCTTGTTAAATTGCCGTGCACCTGCCTAAGTGACGCGATTGCCTAATCACGGTCGAGTCGAGGTTCCGTCGTTTTTGCAGCAATGTGCTTAATTGGTTTAGCCGTTGGAAGTATATTCATTAATCTGCTGATTAATGAATTTGCCAAAGTGCACATGTTTTTATTTTTGTTGAATAATGGAGTATCAAGTGTTAAACTTAAGTGTTGAGCAAACGAGATTGTCTAATACGAACTTAATAACGCTAGTTCTTACCAAAAATTACTTTAACAGTTTCGGTGCTTAAAAAACAATGTAACGTCTGGTTAATGGACGAAATTTAAGATTTTTTCTGAGTACTTCTTGTTATATTTAACATGCTTAGTTGGTAAACCGTTTAGATATTAATATACGTGTTGTTTTTACAGTTTTAACGTTTAACTCAATTATGAATACTAGTATTAGTATATTGATATTAGTATAGTCTAGCCTTGAAGTACGTTCTTATAAGAACTATTTGTACGACCCACAGATTGTAATTTGGTTGAATAGACACAGAAATAACAAAAGTAAACAGTCAACAATATTTAATTGAATTCTATAAATTAACCTAAATATTTTAAACAACATAAAATTTCTGATTATTTGTTCTTCTGTGTAATTGTTCATATCGTTTGAGTTTTTAAATCAACTTGTAATTTGTATCGATATCAAAATAATGGCGACATTTCAATATTTGTATAACTATGAAATAAAGAAATGTTTAAATGTACAAGAAATTATTGAATTTGTTTGATAGTTAATAAACTTTTCAATCTGATTCGTTTATTAAACATTGAGTTAATGAAGTCTTACGTGTACTTATAAATAGATTAATGTATGTTTACAGTGATTTAGTATGTTCATAATTAATGACTGATGGATAAAAGCCAACATAATTCAACAAAAAGAAGATATTATTTTATTTTCAACGACAATATTTAACGGTTAAGTGAACATACAAAAGTGATTCACTAACACATTGAATTTTTTCAAAGAAATTACATTTTGTTCTTATTTATTGTCTATTTATAAAAATAGATAAAGCTGTGAAACTAAACTATTGAAAACTCTCAATCAGGGTATGTAAAAAAGAATACGAATATTTATAATATTATAGTAACATAAACCAAGGTATTAATATAATTTAATTTGTCCATAATTTGTTCAAAATATTATAGTTTCTTGTCTTTATAGTACTCCTCGATAGTTTAGCTATTTATATTCATTACACATTTAGTAGAAGTAAAAAAAAAGTTTTTGATATACTTTTAAATCCTTAAACATGCACAGTCCTAAGTTTACTTAATGCTACACAAATTACTTTCCAATGACACCCACGGCGAGAATAAAATTTTAGCATTTTTTAAATAATTTAAAAGAACTTTATTTGTAATAGTATTTACTTTAAATTATTTTCAAGACTAAACGTTTATATTTTCTTAATAGAAAATTTACACAATTAAAGTATCAAACAATACATTGATTTATTATGTTATGTTATCAATCATTATATCTTATGTAGACATTTTTTGATTTGTTTATCGAAAAATAATTTCATAAATAAAGAAAATTTAATCAATAATATCCACATAGAATAGTTTAAACTTTTAGTGAAAAATAAAAAACCTGTTGCTTATAAATTACATGATAACGAATTTATTACAACTTATAACATTATTTGAATAAATGTTGTATGTTCCAGTTTGGTATTATGTAACATAATACATCTAAAATGTACGTTCCATATCACCAGTTATTGGAATATTTAGGACGGGTTTGCATAATAAATTGGAAGGTGTGAATTGTATATTAATTCAAATTAATATAAATGTTATGTTTAATAAGCTAAAATATTTTTTATTTACCGTTTGGAATGTGAATTGAAAAATTTGAGTTGTTTTTATTCTATAGCAAAATTATATCATAAAATAATGCTAAGCATAAGTTTTTGTTTTTTCGATAAAGTATTAAGTAAAACTAATATTAGAAATTTTAATTTTAATGCAACGTAACATGATAAAATTGGTAACTTACATTATAAAAAAAAAAAAGAAAAAAACTAAATTTTAATGTGAGTAGCAGTAAATTATTCGATAAACTAAGTTCACATAGTACGCCGATGTTACGATACTAACCGATGCTTGAAAACAGCTAAACACACACCTTAACGAGAGACGTCCGCGTTGACTGTGGAGACTGATTCTCGAGCTTTGAGTAGAAGCCCATGTGGTATGGTGTATCTCTCTCAATATGGCCAACTGTTTGGACAAAATAACCGTACGTTAAACAGTTGTCACCACTATGGACCAAAAATAATAAATTATAAAAGCGTTTAGAAACCCTTTTATAAAACAATGGATATTTTTAGCGTATCATTAAATTTAGAGTTAATCACTAATGGCTGAAAATTACGTGTAAAACTGTCATTAAAAAAAAAAAAAAAAAATTGGCTTTGTTTCTTAATATTTTATATTTCATATAAATTATGCTATTTTAACGCGTTAATTAACTAATTAAATTAAGAAAAAAGTGTATATTAAGTGTAAAGTATATTTAAGTGTGTATTTCTATAAACGAACTCTTGGAAAAATTTCAAATCAGTAATAAACTTATAATATTAATTTAAGATTTAAATTAATTTTCATTTAAAAATTTATCCAAACTTTATATTATTATTAGAAATATTTTCTGGTTTACCATTTTCTTCAGTTTTTATCTGAAAACTGAATAAAGAAATATTAAAATTCATAAAACGTTAACATGTTCTAATTAACACATATTTTCTTTTACATATAGTTTTTCACTAACCATAATTTTACAAAAAAAAAATTATTAGAATATTTTATTTAGAAAATTTATTTGTATATATAGGTGTTCATTTAATTAATAGTATTTGTTTTGCAATCAAAGAATTCTTTTCAATAGTAGTTAAAGAATTTTTTTTTTTAAATATCAGAAATACAGTAATTTATTATATCAATGTGAGATATAAAATTATTAAAAATCAGAATTGTTAAAAAATAAGTTTTTTTTAAAAAAAACCTGTTTAAAACGTCCCAAAGACCATTATAAATTTTGAAATTGTTAGTATTATTTCTATAATGTTAAACTACAAGAAAATATTATTTTCAGTTCATTTTATTTGAATCTACATGATTCAGTTATTTTCCAAATTGAGTACCTCATACTATTTAATAATTAATTTTACCATGATTTATTTATTTATTAATGTCTCTCACTACTTTTTCTCAGCTCTCACTGGATTGATTTTCTCAACGATATGTCAAAAGGTCACAAATTGTATTTAGTTGAAAACATTATCCTCAAAAATTAAAAAAATTTTCCCTCGTTCCCCATAAATAGTGAAAATCTCCCAAAAAATTACGATTTTACGACATTTTTTCTAAAAATTACCATAGCTTATTGAATAATGAACAAATAAAAATAATTTTTTATTATTATTTAACGAGTAATGTGCGGCCCAAACTTTAGACGTTTGTCTATGACCAGGCCTAGATAAATCATGGAATCCTTAAGCAAGATCTCCACCCCCAACACAGCGAGCCGTGGAGGAGTAAACTTGTACCTGCCTGTGAACAAGACCGCTTCGGTTTTGTCCAGGGTGAGACTTAGTCCACTCCCCTCCTGCTGGATCCAGTTGGTGACTGCGCTGAGCGCGCAGTTCGCACGAGATCCAGCCTCCTCGGACGAGGCGCCTTCCGCCACCATCAGCGTGTCGCCCGCGTAGCAGACGACGCGTACGTGCGGTGGTAGCGGAACGCGGAATACCGCGTCGTACGCGAGACCTGCGAGGCGGATGGCCAGCCTTGCCGGCACCTCCACTCGGGCGTATCGTATCACTATGAGCCCGGTTTCCGGTGGCACCTTGTCCTCTGGACAGCGGAGGGCGTTTAACAGTGCGTTCTGTACATCGCTCTCTTCCGTCCACTCCTCCACGTCGAGGAACATGACGGCACGGTCATCACCAGACGCTGGACCCGCACGTCATGCTACTTCAGGGGGCCCTTAAGGCTGTCAGCCTGGGCGCCCGAGCCCCGGACTTCCAAGAGGACGGCCTTCGTACGGGTACTCCTGGTGCCAACTAGTTGGATCACCAAGGCTTTGAGGTTAACGGTAGCCATTGCGGTCTTTATGACCGTGGCGTACCATTAACCCTCTTTAAGGAGCTCAATTACCATCGTCTCCATCCTAGGGACATTAGCCCGAAGCTGGATGGCAGTCGAGCTCCGGGACAGTGGCGGGAAATTGGCTTTGGGCCCAACGGTAATCTCGTCGCCCTCTCCACTCTCTTGACCACCTTGGGTTTCACCACCTCTGTCCACAAGGTGACTGTAGTGGGTGCTGAAGCGGGTACTGGAGCAGACGCTGATGCAGGAGTTGTCGTGGATGCCTGCCGGGCGTTCGCGCCACTAGATGGCAAAAGCTCCACGAAGTCCGTTATCGGACTCTCCGGGCCCTTGCCACTCCCTGATTATTTTTTCTCCGCTATTTAGCGGCGGGAACATGTAGGAGTACACCCGCTGCCTCCTCGCCACCTCCCCGACGGCTTTGGATGATGGGCCGTACGCGTCCCACCAATAATCCGTCTGAGACGCTCCGTCCTAGAGGCACACCCGGCTCTCCGACGTAAGTGCTGGGGACTCCCCCTCAAGCGAGCGGGTTAGGTGGAGATCAGCCAAGGCCTTTACGCTTGCGATAAGTGCCATGGCCATCTTCACCACCCGGGTCTGTAGGGTATAAATCTCCAACACGTCAGAGAGCTGTACCGCCTGCTCCCTGGCGAGGTCTAGCCCCGCCGTCATCACCTCGTCGGCCCGACTGATCAACTTTTTTGGTGTCTCATCGGCGTTGAACAAGTCAACCGCTGTCAGGGGCATCAGTTTAGACTTCTTGGCCAGGACCGGCACAGGTGTTGCCGGCTTGGGCACGGTAGCGCTGGGAGAGGTATCCTCCAATGTGATGGTGGGGGGGGCTAATTGTTGCGGAGATCTCCTTGCGTTTGGAACGCAAGGAATCGTTTTCTCCTAGCTCTGCTGCCACCACTCCTAGACACGCTCCAAAATCATTCCAATATACAGGGTTTTGTTGACGTGTCTGGGGGGATGGCCGTAGTGATGTCTGTTCCGTTACTCGAACAATCCGATTGGTGAAGCAATCGATCCGAACCTGAGAAGTTATTAATTCTACTATGTGTTGGGTTTGGTTATATAAATAGTATTATGTAAATATATATAAAGTGTTTTGTAAATTAGGAAACGTGTTTTTTTTGTTCTCATTGTTTGGAACAGTTTGTAACACTGTGTATATATGAATATGCGTAACAAATAAGGGAGTTACTCATTTTTTCTTACTTTTTAAGAGATCAAAAAAAGTACTCTCTTATTACACCCTATTTGTTTATCAAAGTAGTTTAATTCCGATTCAAACCGAATTCTTGAAATTTCGTTGTAAGTTATTATAAGATGAGAAAAACCTAAATTCATATACCTCATAATCTTAAAATCGAACTTTTTGAAGTTACTGTTTTANAGTTTAATAACTAAGTTACCCAACCAATCTTTTATTGATATTCATCTGTCCTCGATTAATCTATCAACTAACAATTAAAATTATAAAATCAATTGATGATTTCTATGATATTAAAAAAAGATAAAAACGAGTAAAAATAATATAATAAATAAAATGGGAAAAGTAAAAATGAGCCTATTATCATATTATTAGTGCACATAATAAAAATTAATAAGTATTACATATTAATTAAGAAAATATACAGGGTGTTCAGTAAGTCAGGAAACGGGTTTCTATTGTTCTCATTGTTACAAACAATGAGAACAATAGAAACCCGTTTCCTGACTTACTGAACACCCTGTATATTTTCTTAATTAATATGTAATACTTATTAATTTTTATTATGTGCACTAATAATATGATAATAGGCTCATTTTTACTTTTCCCATTTTATTTATTATATTATTTTTACTCGTTTTTATCTTTTTTTAATATCATAGAAATCATCAATTGATTTTATAATTTTAATTGTTAGTTGATAGATTAATCGAGGACAGATGAATATCAATAAAAGATTGGTTGGGTAACTTAGTTATTAAACTGCTGTAGGTTTTGAATGTGAATAAGCACTATTCTTGACAAAATTGATTAACTAAGACTTTTTTAAAAGTCCAATTGATGGCGTTTTAGTTAGTTAAAACTTTGATATTTTGATGGAGGACGCTAAAATCCATTCAATGTTATAAAAATTACAATAAATTTCATCAATTTTGCTATTCATAAATGAAGATTCGCGCAAATGGTTGTGTGTGTCAACGGAGTTTCATTTATTATTGTTAAATGTTCAGTTTTTTTAATTGAGTTACTCCTCAAATCACAATAATATCTATGAGTTTAATATTTTAAAAGTACGTAAGATGAGTTTACTTAATATGACTCTAAAATTTTCTAATTTTTTCTATGAAATGATAATTATAGTTATAAAATTTTTTGAATTAATTTTTTCTTCTACAGAATTTAAATAGTCAGAAAATTATGAAGATATATTTTTACATAGCTTTAACTTATAATAGAATTTCCGAATATGTTCTTTGTTTTTGATTAAATATAACTAATTAAAAACAACGAACAAAACAACAGAAATACGATTACATATGTCAAGAGATGTAATTTGCAAATTATTAAAAGGGCTACCTATTAAAACATTTATTTTAAATGTAGCTTTATAAATGTCGTAATAGTATTCAAATAAAACTTAATTAATAGTATATAATTGATAATTATCAAAACTGATATAATCTATAACTATTAAATAAATTTTTAAAAAGTTGACTAAATTTTAATAAATAATAGTTTCATTTTAATAAAGAATTTATTTACAATTAATTTTTTGGATTTATAAAGGTGTCCTATTTTTCCAAAAGCAAATATATATATTTTTTGCAAAAATACATATTCAACACTTTTATGTTTTACATATTTATTTTAGTGTATATTAATAATATAAAAAACATTTTAATTTTAGTCTGAAATAACGATTTATTTAATGTTTCAAATAACAAAAACGCGTTAGTAGTTTTAAATGAATGTCAAATATTCGATTTAATTTGAAGTAGCTTATGAAGTTTTATGATATGAGTACCACTGTAAATTATTCTATAGTTTTTATTAAAATGCTAACTTGTATTTTTATTTTCAAATGTGTTTTCGTAACTTTAAACGCTATCCCAGAAATACAAGTAAGTAATTTTTAAGTAGACTAACTTTTATATTAAGTACCCTCAATCATACTTAAAAATAAACATTGTATTTCAGGAACCTAATTGTGATACTACATTCCTCAAAACATACCTGAAATTATTGAGCAAAATTAATCTTAAATTAAAAGAATTTTTGTTTTACAAGTATGATGATTTTTTGGTTTTTGTTATTTATTCAAATGATATGAAATATCTTGAAATGCCATATCAGGAAGATATAACATTCATAAAAAATAAGGAATTAAGTTTAAGGAACTTAAAAAGAACACTAGAATCTTTAGAATGTCTATATGGATTTTTAACTCTTCATATTTTTGAAATCATCAGAAAAGAAATAACGGATATGGTTAGGGACCCTAATAACAGAGAAGAAACCTCCAATGACAAATTAACATTTAATATTAGTATTTTAAAAGAATTTGTAATTAGAATGATGTCAATTTTTATTAATGGATACTTTAATATTAATTCATGGCAATATGAATTTTCATTAAAAATTATTAAAATGGAACCATTAGAATCACAAGAACTAATTGCAACTGAAGAAGCTTTAAAATTATTGGACGACAAAATACTATATTCATCAATTTATAAGTTTTGCTATGAATGTCAAAAAAAAAATTACTTACCAGCATCCCTAAAATTCTTTGAACCGGATATAATTCAAACTGCTCTTAAACCTTTACCTTTTTATAATTATCTCAGTACAATAAAATCTTGCTATTCAAATTTTTTTGAAATTATAAAAAAAAATAAATTTTTAGACTACAAACGAAAAAATGCTTATTTGTTGATTACAGATTATGGTAATTATTTATTTCATATTATAGAAATACATTTTTAGTATTAAGGTATGTAAATTATTTTTTAGGAATTTGGGGTATATTTGAAGTAAAAATTTACTTTTTCATAAACTTTACAAAATTTATTTATTTATTACATAATACTTAGGCAATAAATAACCCTTTGAATAATTTAATGAGGTATATTATAATAATGCACTAAATAGCAAGTGCATTATTAATATTAGTAAATTTAATGTAGTTAATAAATTCAATTTTGATATATCAGTAAAACTTTTGATAACTTATATTGATAACTTCATTATAATTATTTAATAAATTAAAGAATCGTACCACAATACGAAAATATAGATATTACATAAATAGTACCTCATAAAATTTGTAACTTTTTAAGTTACATTTAATGTAACTTAAAAAGGTAAGAATAAAAATTACAAATAAAGTTTCTAGAGTCATCTGTTCTTGCACACATTTCATGTAATTATTTACATTTGATGTAATAAATCCAATTGTCTCCTCTTTTGTCACTTTTAAAAGATTTATAGCAATAAATATACTCTTCGTCAGTTTTATGTTTTTAAATAGTGTTTTTTACTAGTAGTTTTTTTACCAATATAGGTTATTCAACATTTTTTCTTTTGTACTCTTTGTTATTCTTTTTCTTTTTCTTTGATTTAATTATCTTTTTGTAGAAATTTTTCTTCAAGGTAATTTTAATAGAACTAGAAGTCATCAAAATAGAGGGTAATTTATCTCTTTGTTTTCTTGGTGTTGTTGGTAAGTCCAGAAATAACACCTAATAAATTTAATTATAAAATGTTTTAAAAACTTACTGACTTTGAAATAACTGTTGATTCCATTCCATTTTTAAGACTAGAACCTATTATTAATGATGTAGTTCAATCTTCCAATTGACTTGAACTAGGTTGACATAATGTAACATAAATGCAAAATTTTTCACATGAGTGAAAAAAATTGGCGGTGAACTGCCAACCTGCCCTCTGGTTTTACAAAACTTAATTTAGTTTTTTAGCTTCAATGCAAAGCTGAGAAAGTTTGCATCACTTTTAGACTACGTTGAATTGCTTTAATAGATATTTATTCATAAATTATACTTGTAAAGCAACTACTAATATAATGATATAAATAGGAGTTAATTTTGCTTTCTATTATACTTTTAAATCAAAGAACCACTAATTAGGCTATAATTAAGGATATATGAATTAATTTTGTTTTTAGAATAATCTACCAATTTTTTAAAATTAAACACTATCTAAAAATTTGCACCGAAACGTTTCTTATGATAGTGATTTTAATCACTGTCAAATATCATCTATACTTGTCCCAACTATGCCACACATATACTGCGCAGCGACCTTACTGTGCTAACGTTTTTATTTTTTTATTATTATTATTTTTTGTCTGTTCCCACTTTTTCTCAGCTCTCACTGGACCGATTTCTTTCAACGATACGTCAAAAGATTCCAAATCGTATCTAGTTGAAGACATACTTTTAAAAATTGAAAAAATTTTCGTTGTTCCACGTAAATGGGGGAAATATCCAAAAAATTACAATTTTAAAAGTTATTAATTTTCAAAATTTTTTTCACTTTTTTTCATAAAATTAACTTTTTCAAAAATTAACAAATCAAAATAATTTTTTTTATAGAAACCTTAGGTATTTTGCTTTTCTTTAGTATAATTTTTTTTACATTCTAACCTTTTAACTACCTTAAGGAGGGATTCATAACGCAACTTTTTTATGGAAGTCAACTTTTTCAACTTAACATTTGATAATGTTCCAGAAATACTGCGTCCATAAAACATGAAAATGGCTGCCGTATATAAAAAACATGTTATATTGTGTTCATATTTTAGCTTCGATGCGAAGGTGAGAAGGTATTGGTTTACTAAGATGTGTTTTTTTTTGTGTCTGTTCCCATTTTTTCTCAGCTCTCACTGGACCGATTTCTTTCAACGATACGTCAAAAGATCACAAATCGTATCTAGTCGAAGACATTACCCTCAAAAATTGAAAAAAATTCCCTCGTTCCCCGTAAACGGGGGAAACCTCCAAAAAAATTACAAATTTAAAAATCGCTAATTTTCAAAATTTTTTTTACTTAAAATTGCTATAACTTTTTTAAAAATAACCAAATAAATATAATTTTATATAGATGAATGATATCATTACCTTTCATTTGGTATATTTTTTTCATAAATTTAACCCTTAACCTGCCCACAAGGGGGGATTTAAAATGACAACTTTTTCACAAAAAATTAACTTTTTCAACTTAACTTTTGAAAATGATCCGGAAAGTCTTACACTTTTATATATATCTTAAATTAAAGCTAATGTAATTTACTTTATTATAGTAAAAAAAAAACTTCGGACTTTATTTTATCTTCACGGTGAAAATGGCTACCAAATGCTATTATTGTGTAAAAATTCTCGATTTTATTTTTTACATTTTTAACTTTATAATGCTATGACATATTGAAAAGTGTATGGATCAACATTATTTTTTTATGAGAAATAATATTTTTTAATAATCCCTTTTTCATTCAGGATATTAATAAGAAAATAGCAGATCATGTAGCTTTTGGAATAATCCACCAATTTTTTAAAATTAAACACTATCTAAAGATTTGCATCGAAGCGTTTTTTTTTGATAGTGATTTTAATCACTGTCAGATATCATTGTACTTGATCCATCTATGCCACGTCACCACTGTGCCGCGACCCACCTGTGCTGGGTTTTTGAGATTATTACTAATTAGAAACACATGAAAAAATTAATTAAAATAATTTTTTTATCAAGTAATTATTGATTTTTATTATATTAAAAATAATCCGCACAAAATTTCAATCCAAAATGTCATTTTTAACTTATTTTTTTGATCCTTTAAAGTTGATTTTTATAATTTAAAAATGTTGAACCTTTAAACACAATTTTAACTCAACTAGCAAGTTTAGAATTTATATCATTTAAAAGAAAATGTTATGTGTAATAAAATATACTATTTTTTAGATTGATATGTGATCAGAAACTTATATAATTACTATTAATAGTAAATTTATAAAGAAAACTCAACATTTCGATAAAAATGTTCTGTTGTATTATATTATAATAAATCATTTAAATAGAAGTCTTGGTAAGCATTTCTGTGCAACTCTTGGCATTTGAATAATTATTCATTTATACATTCATATATACTGCAATTATAATATATTGATTATTCATACGTAACATAATAATCAAACATAAATATTTGTTATATTCAGTGCTCGAATTGGCCAAAAATAAGTAGGGGAGCTCAACTTAACAATTTGAAAACTGCGTCCCTAGTATTTTGAAGACCTTTTTTTTTTTTTTTACTCATTACTTTATTTAGTATTTATTAATAAATCATATTTCATTATCATACTAATATTTAAAAAAAAAAAAAGAGGTGTTATTTTCCACCGTCCTCCTGTCCCAATAAAAAAAATAGTTGGGGTGCGCAAAACAATTTTAAAAAAAGTAGAGGAGTTACGTCCCCCAGCGCACCCCCCCAATTCGAGCACTGGTTATATTAATTAGAAGGATTTTGTTATTATTTAGTCAATATGCGATACTTTAATTTCATATTTGAAATAGGTGCAAAATGGGTTTAGAAAAGTATATTTTGGTCTCTGATGAAAATTGCTTGTAGACCATTAAATTTATTTATAAGTAACACAATTTATTTTAAAAAGTATTGCATGAAGCACTTTTTACAACTTTTATACATGTTTGTCATAGAAGTAATATCTACTTAATAATTTTTATAATTTCCCCGTAAAAATTACAATACTAACTTATTCAATATCAATTTTATATTCTATTTAATTGCTATAATAAATATTTATTCATAAATTATACTTTTAAATCTAAGAACTACTAATCAGGATATAAATAAAGAAGTAATTGATTCTTTTGCTTTTTGAATAATCCATCAATTTTTTAAAATTAAACACTATTTATAAATTTGCATCAAAGCGTTTCTTGTAATAGTGATATTAATCACTGTCGGATATCATCTATACTTGTCCCTACTATGCCACGACCATAATTTTCTACCGTTTGTGATGGTGTCACGTTACCATTATTGTAAGAATTTATTATAATAAAATATAGACAGCACATCCTGTTCTAGTGACTGACGAATTAACAATTAATATTTATTGCAAAATTGGCAATCATCCAAATTATTATAAAAACCCAAAACTCCTGGTTATCTTGGTCAGTCGACTCCAGTGCCTTGTGTCATTCATCAGTCCCAATACTCGGTTGTCGCTATTCGGCTTACTGCTTAAAGTAAGTCTTTGTTTTTCCTTTTTAATCTGCCTACTCTCGTCTTCGATATTTCAGAGTACTTATGTCTTGTACTTCGTCTACACCTCATACCTAGGTGTCACTCTTATTTCTTTCTTATAATAACGGCTATTTGACACAGCTATCCCGTAGTGTCAGCTGAGCACGGTAACTGCTGTATGATTACACGAACGTAAAAACCTAGTCAGCAGACTCAACAACAGCGTCATACACACATACACATCTTAGTCCTCTTTACTTTTATTTGTGTTACAACACGTTTTTTACATAGTTTCTGTCCATACTAGGGGATATTATCTGTAGTATATATAATATTAATACACATATGAATATTAGAAAAATATAAGATTGTATAAAGAATGTATAAAATATATTCAATGAAGGGTAGATGACACAATTATTTATCTTGTTCAATATGCTTTTTAAATGAAACTCCTTATAATTATTTAAACAACAACAATTAAATTAAAAGTAATTCACACATATTAATTGTTACATCTAACAATATCTAATACCGTAAAAAAAAATTATTTTTATATATACGAAAAACCATTTACTAAAAAATATCAAAGTTTTAGCGGAACCATGAAAAAGTAATAAATGATAATGAAATTATTGGTATTAATTAATTGGGTCATTTATTTATCTTATCTTAATGGATTAACCATTAATGTAATATATATTTTCATTTTCTTTTTAAATTCACATTGTTCAACTTGTTCCTCCTTCTACTCACAATTAGTGTGTCTTAACATAGAAAAAAATAATAATAATACTATGAAATAGCTAATTTTCCAATAGTTTTCAGATGGCTTTTTCAAAAAAAAAAAAATTTTAATAATATATATATTTTATAATTGCCTTAGAGAAGAAGGAAAGTATACCTGATGTGGAATTTGAAATGAAAAAACAAAAATTAATTGAATCTTTAAAATTAAGTGAATCAGAAATTTATTCATTAGAAAGAAATACAATTGATCATAGCAAAAGTGAAATGTGGAGGAAAAATTGGGGTTTAAGGTTGGCTTCAAGACATTTTGGTCGTGTCTGTACTTTACAACCAACAACTTCTAGAGATTCTACTTTAAAAAGAATATTGTATTCATATTCAACATTTTTGATGCCAAATATATCGTCTTATAATCCAAAGTTAGTTGCATAATAAATAAGTTTAAAAATTGGTACTAAAAATCATATTATTCTTTTTTTTTTTTTGAATTTAAGTCCTGGCAAATTGTATGGCATAAAAAATGAAAAATTAGCTTTAAAAGACTTTGAAAAAAAAACTGGGAAAAAAGTAAAGCTAAGTGGGATATTTGTCGACGAAAAAACTTGCTTTTTTATAGCAAGTCCAGATGGAATAATTGATGATGATGGCATTATAGAAATTAAATGTCCGTATGGAGCTCAAAATATGACTATTCAAGAAGCATTTAATCATGGTAAACTAAAATTTATGTCATGGATCAAAAACAAAGATAACTTCCATTTAAAACGTGATTCAAGCATTTACTATCAAATTCAAGGACAGCTTCATATAACAAAAAAACAGAAATGTTATTTTGTTATTTGGACTGAAAAAGGTTAAGCTTAATTTTAATGTTCATTCTTGTATTTTTAATTATTTTTGTTAATTAATATTAGATAAATATAGGGTAGATATAGGTAATACCTTCCCTTTAAGGTAAAAATATATATTTTTAAATCTGATTTAGTAATATTTGTACCTCAACGCGAAAGAAATATAGACTTGGAATTTTCTAGCTTTTGATATATTGTTTCAATATTTGCCATTTTTCAGGAAAGAAAAAATAAATATAAAATTCCAATGGTATCTTGCACAAATTGACATTTTTAAAGTGCTTAAACAAATCTTATTGTTAAATTTAATTCGTAATTTTCGGAGCATCATCTTTTTCTATACTAAATTATGAAAAATCCATTTCTGTGACTTACTAGTTCTTAGAAGTAAGTCACATATACATTATATATATATATATATATATATATTTTTGTACATAAATAACTTAATTTTGTTGTTTGTCTTGGATAATTATTATGAAATAATGGACACAATAATAGCTGATAACCTCTTAAGTTACAGCAAGAAGAAACTATATTTAATTCTTTTATATAATCCTAGTTCAATTTAACTTGGCTGCGCGGGTAAAAGATCATGTATCCAAACAATTAACTTTCCCAGAAAGCAAAAAAAAACAACTTATTTTAATATTAGTTATTTTGACATCTCATCATTTTAAATATTATTAAAGGAATGCACATTGAAATAATTACTAAAAAAGATACATTTTGGGAACATAAAATGGAGAAATATTTGATTGATTTCTACATGAATTACATGGTTCCAAAAATTATTGAACTTCAAACACAATTTGAATTATCCAGTGAATCTAAATAATTATAAATTTGAAATTACATTTGTAACAATGTAAATATATACATGTGTTCATCAATGATTTGCAATATTAATTGATTTAAAGAAAAAATAAATAAAATAAAATTTATTGTTTTAATTTATAACTCTTCTTTTTTTTCAAAATTAGAGTCAATTTAATAAATTTTTTCTTGAAAATAAAAAATGTTTAATTTATATTTTTAATATAAATCAAAATTTTTGCAGTGCAATAAAACCTCATCAATAAAACTTCATACTCATATTTTGACAAATTACTATGTAACGTGACAAAATGTGAATTTTATGATATAGATCAGGGATGGCGAACCTTTTTGTACTAGCGTGTCAAAAAAAAATGTTGGTTGAATTTTGTTTTCCCTGCGTGTCAACTAGTTTTATAACCCTTTTTCATACTTAAAAATTCCTATATCCATGGTTTGAATGATAAAAAACATGTCAAATATTACATTATCAAACAATTTAATTATATTAGATACGAAAAGTATATGTATCACGTCAGTATGTAAAAAAAATTAATTTATAAAAAATTAAAAAATATTGAAATGTTAAAATATAAAATTTTTATACATGAATTTTTAATGAGAAATTTGTTGCTGCATTTTATTGGCTAATGAATCAATTCTTGGACTGTACTTGGTCGATTTTAATTGAACACATGCTTCACTTAAATCTGTTCCAAGACGATTCCTTACAGTTGATTTAATAAAATTCATTGAAGAAAAAAGCTGCTCACACGCATAAGTTGATCCAAACATTGTCAATAAAGAAAGAGCTAGTTTTTTCATAGATGCAAATGAATTTGGAAGACTTTTCCACTCATTAAGAATCAAATTTTCCGATTTAAAATTCCTACCAATTTCATGATGATTATTTTCTAGCTCATTATTCAAATTAATAAATTTATTTCTCCAAATATTACTTCCCTGAAATTCTATTAACTCCATTTCTAAATTGTCAATATTTAACCACTCAAAAAAACTAAGTTTAAGTTCTTCAAATTTAATATTATGTGGATTTAATAAAAACTGTAATGTTGAATCTAGATGACGAAATTGGGAAAATCTGCTTGAAAATAATTCGTATGCATTTTTTAATATTTTTACATATTTGGTTATTATTAATTTCATATCAAACTGATCATCTTTAAAATGTTTTTCTATTAATTGCTTTTTCAAATAAGGAAAATATTTCAAGTTTTCATTTTGTAGATCTTTACAAAAAACTTCAATTTTTTTTTCAAAAATTTTAATATTATCAAACATAGTTAAAACTGTTTGACCTCGGCCTTGGAGTTTTTTATTTAAATCATTATAAATTGCAGTAAAATCTGTGAAAAACATCAAATCATTCAACCAATTTAAATCAGTAAGCTCTGGATAATCTTGAGATTTGTCCGACAAAAATAAACGTACTTCTGCCAGTAATTCAACAAATCGATGAAGAACTTGCCCGCGACTCAACCATCGAACACTATTATACATAAGAAGGCCAGAGTATTGCGATTCCACCTCTTCTAATAATTTGGCAAACTGTCGATTGTTTAAAGCTCGAGATGTTATGAAATTGACAATTTTTGTAACAGTTTCCATTACTTTTTGAAGCGATTTCATACTATCTTTTGCACACAACGCTTCTTGGTGTATAATACAGTGAAAGTTGATTAAAGGATGCAAAATTTCATTGGAAAAAAGTTTAATAAATCCATTGTTTTTACCAACCATATTTGGAGCGCCGTCAGTAGTTATTGAAACAATATTTTGAATATTGATTTTTAAATTTATAAACTCTTTATGTACTTCATCCATAATATCACGACCAGTTGTTTTAGTAGAAATTGTTATTAATTTTATTAATTCTTCTTTCATAATATTAACACTAATAAATAGAACAAAAACTGCTACACGAGCTTGGGAAGTTACATCTGTACTTTCATCAAGACAAATCGAAAAAAAGTCTGCTGAAGCTAAATCAGTTTGAAGCTGATTTGATATATCGCCACTCATACATAAAATTCGTTCTTTAACAGTATTTCTACTAATAGGTAAATCTTGAATACGTTTTATTATTTCATTTTTATTCACAAAATCATGAAATAAAGTATTTGATGTCATTAAAAAAACTTCTTTTATGTATTCTCCATCGGAAACTGGTTTACCATGCTGTACAATACAGTGGGATACAGAAAAACTAGCAGCTGTTAAATTATTGTTTGGTATAAAAGCAGCTTTGAAATTATTTGATTGATTTTTAAAACGTTTCAATTTTTGCGAAATTAATTCCAACTTTTCTTCAGTTGATAAAGAAAACATGTTTGTATTAATTGTTTCAAAGTGTCTTTTTACATTAAAACTGCGACTAACTACTGTTTCATTACATAAACAACATAACACTTTATTATTTTTTTGAACTACCCCATAATCTACGGTCCATTGTTCGTGAAATGATCTTCCACTTTTACTTTTTGACATCATTTATTAAAAAATATAACCTTTAAATTATTATAAAAATAACACTCACCAATAATGAAAACTGCCAAAACGATTCATTTAGACAAGTCAAAGGCAACGATAAAATTTAACACATGAAACACATTCGATTCGACGAATGAGTAATGACTAACGCTAGCCGTGGATCAGTTTTACACGTTATATCCGTTATATAAATATATACCTAATAATGTTCTTATCGAATAAGATTTTCTTATCGAAAAGTAATAAAATTAATAGTTTGAGCAGTGTAGATATTCAATTCAATGCGTGTAGGTATAATACCATAAATTTAATATTTCATTTTTGTAATCTCAATTTATTTTAGTCTACGTCCTACGACCAGTGGTTTTTGATGACAAACTTTTACATAGATCCGTGTGTCACTAAAATAGTATGCGCGTGTCACTCTGTGACACGCGTGTCATAGTTTCGCCATCTCTGATATAGATAGATTACTGTTTTGCTTTGCTAATGGGCGCGCGTACGTTATATCCGGCCGTGTAATCAGAAAACTGTACTGTTGCTGTCAAGGTGAACGCTATACACACAATATTCTTTATCAGTTTAATAATCGTTCCTTATATGACACATACACTGGCCACCACTGTCAATTCCTGTATAATTTTAATATTGTTCATATTTTTATCTGTTTTATATTTTGTAAATTGTTAAGCCGATACCCTCTCACAAACGTAATCGTCGTCGTCGTTATGTCTCGCCCGGTGTGTAAGAAAAATTTGTGTTCTCTTCTCTTTGAACCACCGTCGTGGTATTGTTTCTGTGTGCGGGCAGCCAATAATAGTTTTTTTTCGTGTGTGTCGTTCATTATAATAATGTACAAATTTAACTAGGCGTCGGCCATTTCCGGGGCCGAGATCCCCATCTTAGGATTTGTCCCATCCGGGACTGGTTATCGTATATTGTTTTTATTTTATTTAATATATTGTTTTGAGCCTTTTTCTATCTTAAATTTATTTTTTTTACGAGCTGTATATAATTTTAGCTATAATTAATAAATACTAGGTTATTGGTCAGTGGTGTGTCGTGTATATATATTATTCCCGCAGTGCCCAAGTACGGTCCGGCCGACCAGATTACAGAAATTATCCGCCACGCCCGGAGTACACGGACTTGTTCCGATGCGGAAGACACTTCACGTGTAATATTTAAAAGTTGTAGGTTAAATATTTTTTTGTCTTAATAATTGTTTTTTTTTCTCTCTTTTGTCCCTTCGTTTGCAGAGTGGTTTTTGCCTTCGGGTTTTGTCCACTATTAACTTAACTAATAATTTAATAAAGTCCTCTTAATTTTCTTAATCAACAAAAATCTTTTTATTGCGTGAATATCTTCAATATTCACGTGTATATTATTTCTTTTTCCTTTTAAATCATTTTCTCTAGTTTTAAGGTCACGGTCTTCGACATACTAAAGTATGTCCACCACTGGTGACATCAAATAAACCTATTTGTTATATTTACAAGGTATCAGCGTATAATAGTCTACAACAACACTTTATATTTTAGTATATGTATATATAATTTTTTTAATCCACTTTGTTTCATCAAAGTGCATATTATTGGTTTTCTTATTATTTTTTATTTTTTTTTCTTAAATCCACTTAAGTGGTTGGCGACCCGATTTCCTTTTGCAAGGGATCCATGAGGGTGGCGACTCCACAATCCGTTGCGTGGCCAAAGTCGTCACCTCTCAACTATAAACACCAGTGCCCGCACAGGGGCAAACTAGGCAAGGTATTTGCCATAGGATCAGGGCCATAAGACTCCACATATAGCAATTGCGTAGGTTTTGCTTAAGGGTGGTATACACAAAACATATTTTCATAAACCTACTCTCAGTAGAAAAAAATATTGTATATTTGCCATGTAATTTATTTATTCGAGAATCTATACATCTATAAATATTGTAGAAAAAAAATTAAATTACACTATTTTGTGATAAATTTAAAGTTTAGTTTGTATAGTTTAGTTAGGGATTAACAAAGATGTTAAATAATATGTCACAATGAATTCGTTTATATATGTTATTTTTAGTATCGCGCTGTCCGTCAATCCAGTGACACTTAATATTTGTACTCTTATTTTTATGTATATATACATCATATTTCATTATTAAAAATTATTAATTATTATAAATTTTAATTGTAGTATTTTTGTAATAAATATAAACACCAAAACACTACAAATTGGTGACCTCTAAAATGAACAACAAATCCGATAGTGCGATAGTAAGTGTGCGTGATGACGCGACCGGTAATGATGGCCGAGACCATATCGAATACGGCGAGCCCAATATGAATTCAACGCGAGCGTTTAAAATCCCAACTTTCTGGCGCACCAACCCAGAACTTTGGTTCAAACAAAATGAATCAGTTTTTTATACAACCAANTTCAAACAAATTGAATCCGTTTTTTATACAACCAGAATTACAGCTGACGCAAGTAAATTTCATCATGTTGTTTCCTCTATGGAAAGTGAAATTCTTGCTCAAGTTAGTGACATAATACTCAATCCACCAGAAACGAAAATGTACGAAGCATTAAAAACCCGGCTTATCGAAAGATTTTCCGAATCTGAACAATGTCGGCTTAAAAAATTACTGACTGAAGTCGAACTCGGTGATCGGAAACCATCCCACTTTCTTTCAGAAATGCGTCAACTAGCTAATGGAAAAGTAACTGATGAAATACTCAAAACACTATGGATACAAAGGTTACCATATCAGGTAAAAACTATAATTTCAGCTAGCAACGACAAGTTGGATAACTTAGCTTCGATGGCAGATAAAATTATCGAAATATCGGACAGCCGGAATGATGGTTTTTCCATTTCCAGCGTTAGTGACAAGGTCACAAACCGTCAGTCACATGAACAAGCTGACGATGCAACGACAATAAGAAAAGTGGAACATCAGATCGCAGCACTCACACAAGCAGTAGAGCGACTTAGCAACAGCAACTCTCGTAGCTACAATAGGCGTCACTCAAAATCACCTATGCGCCGAGACAATTCACGACCACGATATGATACGTGTTATTATCATTACCGATTCAAAGATAAGGCTACTAAATGCAAACCACCGTGTAAATACCAGCACACGTCGGAAAACTATAAACGATCTACTATCGAAACGACCGACGGTAGTGAATTTCAATCTCGTCGTCTATTTATTGTTGACAAAATAACAAAAACTCAATACTTAATTGATACTGGTGCGGACTTTTCGGTTTGGAATATCCTTGGGCATCTTCGCTTTTAAAGACGATTCAGCGTACATTAAGTTACTCAAAAAATTTCCGCAAGTATTAAGAACAAACATGATCCCAATGGATTGTAAACATAACGTTACACATCATATCATCACTAAAGGACCACCACTCTTCGATAAACCAAGACGCCTTCCTCCGGATCGACTAGAGATCGAAAAAAAGAATTTGCATATTTAGTGGAACAGGGCATATGCCGACCTTCAAATAGTCCGTGGGCCAGCCCATTACAACTAGTAAAAAAGAAGAACGGTGAATGGAGATCGTGCGGCGACTTCCGTAGGTTAAACGCAGTCAAATTACCGGACAGATACCCCATTCCACACATTCAAGACATCACACAGCGATTGCAAAATAAAAGTAATAAGTAATAAGTAAAAGTAATAAAAGCTTTTAACCATATACCAATAGAACCGTCCGATATTCCAAAAACAGCTATTACAACACCTTTTGGGTTATTTGAGTTTGTTCGGATGGGATACGGTTTTAAAAATGCAGCTCAAACATTTCAGCGTTTCATACACGGTGTTTTAAAAGACTTAGATTTTTGTGAAGTGTATTTGGACGATATTTTAATTGCATCGTCTTCAACACAAGAGCATTTGAGCCACCTCGAACGTGTATTACAACGACTCAGTGAGTACGGCATTGTGATAAATACGAATAAATGTATATTTGGAAAAGAAGAGGTACTATTTTTAGGATACATCATATCGGGTAACGGTCTTAGACCAAATCCTGAAAAACTGGAAGCGATAGACAAATATCCACGGCCGAATAATGTACAAGAGCTTCGACGTTTTTTGGCTATGTGCAATTTTTACCGCCGTTGTATCCCAAACGCAGCAAGTACACAAGCTATTCTTCACGATTATCTTAAAAACAGCAAAAAAAACGACAAAACACCAATTGTATGGACCGATCAATCAACGGGAGCGTTCGAGAAAACTAAAGAAGACTTAAAGCGAGCCACAACATTATCGTATCTAGATCCGGCCGCGAATATTCAATTACGATGTGACGCGTCAGATATGGCGATAGGCGCAGTAATAGAACAATTTAAAAACGGCGTTTGGCAACCACTTGCTTTTTTCTCTCGCAAACTTGACCAAACACAAAAAAAATACTGTGCATACGATCGTGAACTTCTTGCGGTATATGAAGCCATTAAGCATTTTCGCTATATGCTGGAAGCCCGTGAATTTGAAATAATTACGGACCATAAGCCGTTAGTATACGCATTCACACAACACTCAGATAAATTACCACCTCGACGTGCACGACAACTTGATTTTATTAGTCAGTTTACAACATCAATACGGCACGTAACAGGTACACAGAATACAGTGGCCGATGTGTTATCGAGAATAGAAACTATAAATGCACCGCCACCGCTAGATTATGACAAGTTATCTTACAACCAGTTAGCAGACGCAGAACTATTGTCGTTATTGTCAAAACCGGAANGCTTACGACCAGTTAGCAGACGCAGAACTATTGTCGTTATTGTCAAAACCGGAATTATCGATAAAACTA